ACCAATCGGCACAAGATGGGTGATGTGGTCAGCATCACGCCAGCCTCATTTACTTCCCAGGACTGCACCCGGTACTCACTCAAAGCAGTTCTGACGCCATAAACCTATCTTACTGTTACATGCTCTAGTTGTACAAAATGTCATTACGGTAAATACGTTGAATATACATATACCTTCAAATATGTCCACCCCCCCCCCCCCCATCCCGTGCATCTCGGGACCCCGTTGTTTTTGTTTTTAATGGGGGTGGGGTGGAATAGACCCATAGTCCCTAATAAACATGTCGTAAGAAAAGACTAATTGCGGATTTGCTCAAATCTGATGTGTTGGGCCGAAAGGCGCAGACATTGCAACCTGACTGTAAACCACAGTACAGCATACCAGGCTCTTTTAGGGGCGAACGCAGAAGAAGAATGTGCATGCTTATTCTTCCAAGCAGTTGGGCCTAAGGCAAACGTCAGACAAAACCCATCAGAAGTTACGCATCCTAATTAGTGACTGTTCTAAACAAGAAAACTGACAATTCCTGTCTTTATATACCACTTTTTGCGGTGTAAACAGGGGCAGATTTAGGGCCGCATGGCTAGTGCTGTCGCCACGACAGGATTTTATTTTGCCTCTGACAGAAATAATCCCCAGCCTTACCGAGGATTCGAACCTGGGTCTCCCGCATGAGAGGCCAGGGTTCTAACCGTTCGGCCAGCCGCTCCTCAGTGCCTGTTCAGATGCACTTGTTGACAGAGCATGTCTGGTTAACACAAAATGTGTGTACAATGAAATCAGATTTTATGCCTGCCATATAGTCTTAAATAATAATGATAAAATAAAAATGATAATATTACAAGCAGCAAAATATTTACACGATAGCAATAAATTAAATTCTTTTATACAAAGAAATAACCAAAATAGGACTCTGTTGATCTAAACCAGGGGTTCTCAACCTGCTAGTCGCGACCTTTTTGTGTGTGGTCAACCGACCCTTTGTTTGTGTGTGTGTGGTCAACCGACCCTTTTACATGGGTCACCTGAGACCCTATGAAAACACATCTATCTTTCTACTTCTTTCTATGAGTGCCGTTCACAATACTTTCTGTTACTTGATTAATTGAAGTTATGAAGAAAGATAATTGGCGGTCACCACAACAAGAGCGAACTTTATTAAAGGGTCGAGGCATTAGGAAGGTTAAAAACCACTGATCTAAACTGAGGAACACAAATTAACAAAGAGAACACAGGAACAACAGCCACTGTTTCATTACATGGATGGCTCACAAAATATTCAAAAACAATTCATTAAAATTGAATTATATACACAGTTGGCACCAAAAACCCAATGAATAAATACGTGTACGCAAAAGAAGAAAACAGGAAGCAATGAACTAAGATTAAATTATATCATTACTTCTGTATCTTCTGTTTTGATACTTACTGTTTTTTTTTTTTTTTTTTTTTTCGTTTATTTTAAAAGCATGATTTACTTCTCAGATAAACTCGTTGTAACTAATAGTTAGGATATATAGTGTTAATTTTTAGCGATCAGGATTCAGTTGTAACGTCACTATTATACTAGACACAAGCCAAGACGGTAGTCCCTAATTATTTTTTCATGCAACTTCTGTCTAATGTAGATTGTCCCTAATGAGGGTGATCCCCGATGCAGCTTTTCCCTCAGTGCAGTTGCCTTCCAAAACAACTACCCCTACTGCAAATCCTGTTTAATGCATCTCCATTCTATTGCAACTCCTCTCTAATGCAGCTTCCGTCTAATCCAACTCCTGTGTAATGTATCTTCTGTTTAATGCAACTCCTCTCTAATGCATCTCCTCTCTAAAGCTCTAATACAACTCCTGTCTAATGCAATTCTCCCTAATACAACTCCTGTCTAATGCAACTGCTATTTAATGCAGATCATGTCTAATGTAACTTCTGTCTAATGCAACTCCTACCTAATACATCTCCTCTCTAATGCAACTTCTCTCTAATGCAACTCCTGTCTAATGCTTCTGTCTAATGCAACTCCTATATAATGCAACTCCTTTCTAATGCAACTCCTCTCTAATGCAACTCCTCTCTAATGAAACTCCTGTCTAATGCAACTCCTCTCTAATGCAACTCATGTATAATGCAACCCCTCTCTATTGCAACTCTTCTCTAATGCAGCTTCTGTCTAATCTAACTCCTGTGTGATGTATCTTCTCTCTTTTGCAACACCTGTCTAATGTATCTCCTCTCTAGTGCAATTCCCGTTTAATGCAACTCCTCTCTAATGCATCTCCTCTCTAAAGCTCCAATCTAATGCAACCCCTGTCTAATGCTCCTCTCTAATGCAGCTCCTGACTAATGTATCGACTGTGGTTACTCTAATACATCCACCCATTCCCTAATGCAACTATACCCTAATAATAATACTTCGTAATAAAATTAATTGTCTAATGCAGCTACTCCCTAATGCAACTGCTCACTTTTAAAACTACTCCCAAATACAACTGCTCCCTGCTGCAACTATTCCCTAATGCAACTAATTTATAATGCCCCTGCTACCTAACACAACTGCATCCTAATGCAGTGATTCCCTAACTGTAACTATTTCGTTATTCAACTTTTCCCTAAAGCAGCTACGCCTTATACAACTTTTCCCTAAAGCAGCTACGCCTTATACAACTTTTCCCTAAAGCAGCTACACCTTATACAACTTTTCCCTAAAGCAGCTACACTTTATACAACTTTTCCCCAAAGCAGCTACGCCTTATACAACTTTTTCCTGAAGCAGCTACGCCTTATACAACTTTTCCCTAAAGCAGCTACGCCTTATACAACTTTTCCCTAAAGCAGCTACGCCTTATACAACTTTTCCCTAAAGCATCTACGCCTTATACAACTTTTCCCTGAAGCAGCTACGCCTTATACAACTTTTCCCTAAAGCAGCTACGCCTTATACAACTTTTCCCTAAAGCAGCTACGCCTTATACAACTTTTCCCTAAAGTATCTACACCTTATACAACTTTTCCCTGAAGCAGCTACGCCTTATACAACTTTTCCCTAAAGCAGTTACGCCTTATACAACTTTTCCCTGAAGCAACTCTCCCTGTTACAGCTACTCCTTTAGAGGGATTGGATAGTAATCTTAACATTCCTGACCATGATTGTATCTATATGCAACTGTTACTTTATGGGCTAGCCATGTCTGCTTTGCAAATATCATAACTGAAGCAGTTACCTGGGTTGTAAAGATCACACTAACGTATCTGTATCCAAACTACAAACTTCCTAAAACGTACACTGAACATACATATAATTTATAAAAACAAGACATTGGCTGCCAAAGACAAAATAAATTAAATCACACAAAGATCAAAGGACGGGGTGCAAAGAAGATGCACTAATAAATTATTTTATAAATAAGTTATGTACATAAATATCTAAATTTATTGAGTAGATATAAATAAATCAGAATTATTGAGGGAGTTAAAATAGTTTTAAATACTGATAGGTCTAATTCTGAAATGGACGGCAGTTAATTAAATACATCAATGAAGAAGGAAATATAAATTAAGTAGAATACGTACAAAGTAGAAATGTTCAAAACATTGTTGTGATTATGATTAAAAACCGTACTGTGAATAATTAGACAGTCTTATTAACATATCTCTTCATTGATCTTGACTGGAATTTTCTTGTGTTGATTTCCCATACATGCGATCAGTGGCAAAAACAGTATTATAAATATTTATACACAGAGGCACCATAAGATTTCAAAAAATAAAGGTTACTCTTTCACAACGTGAAATATAACCATTTGTTAAAAAGGATAATATCAAATGCAATTGTTTATATATTATAAACAGAAAATTCTCTCTTCTTAAAAATACAAACATGGTCCACGTAAAATGTTTGGTTAGAGTAAAGGCACATTGTTTGGTTGTAATTCTTATTCTTCTGGTAACATATATTGTTGAGTATTGACAAAGCCCCTGAATACCGTATTTCCTATGCGTCAAGGGCGGGAAAAGTGTCTTTCAAATTTGTGCACACACTGTAAGACGATTTTGGTAAATTTGGGGGAAAATACATTTTTTTACCACTTTAAGTGGCCTTTACCATATTATTTAACAATATTAGTGATTAATTAAACAGCACCAGACTTTGCTATCATGTGTTTAAGTCTTTCGGTATGGGAACACGGAGATGTTTCTGTGCAACTTTGCGTCAGAAAATACTGAGCGTGAACTCCAACGTTGTAGACTGTGCTGCCTTTAAACGGCATTTGGCCTGTGCATACCTGTGTGGCACATTGAGAGATTTGGACTGCGCGATAGCTTTCGTCAAGGCTACTTACTGGTCTGTTGGTTTAAGGTTTTCAGACAGAAGGATCGAAGGTTAAGATGAAGATTAAACAACGAGGAATATTAACGCTCTTCTGTCATGAATGTATGTAAAAACCGAACATTTAAAGTCACACAGGGGCTTTGTATATGCATTTAACTATAAACAAGATAATTGTGGCAATTGTGGTCGTCGTCATACTGGCATTTGTTGGGTAATACTTAATATGCATTTGGCAGAAAATCATGTAAACACTTAACAACATTACAGCAAACACATGGTTTTAAAAAAAACGCATGTAAAACAGCAGCATTAACATGACCAAAATGTGACAGGACGTGTCTAGGGACGGAAAGCACTTTTCATACAAGAGTAACTTGGATCAGCGAAACAGTGGTTGCATAATACTGAACGCATAAATAGATAACAGAAGTAGTTAACTGCGTGAAATGAATAAAAAAGAAGTTAATTGCTTGTTTGACATTCTTGAAAGGGCAACAACAATGCTAGCGAAATAGGAAAAAAGAACATTAACAACGTGGCCATTTTGTTCATCAATAACTTAAAAACACAGGTACATGCAATTTTAAATCACCAAGCATGCGGAAGAGAGCATGATTTATTGCTGTCTCAGCTTAACGATTCCCTCATTGGCCATTTCTACAGGAGCAGTTGATCATTGGCGAAATCTCTGACCTCGCATGCACGAGGATTCCTCGTGCTTATAGAGATAGCTTTTGAGAGCAAAGGCCTTCCCACAGCGACCACAGACGTACGGCTTCTCGGTGGAGTGCGTCTGGATGTGTGCTCGCAGGTTGGACTTGTCAGCGAAGGACTTTCCACACTGTGGACAGCCGAACGGTTTTTCTCCCGTGTGAGTTCGGATGTGGCCCTGGAGTAGCCATGGTCGGCTGAATTTCTTGCCGCAGTGCGGACATTCACATCCTTGGTTGTGGGTGCGGACGTGCATACTGTACGCTGGCATAGACACGTACACTTTGTCGCAGTGGGGACATTTCCTGGCTTTCTTGTCGCAGACGCTTCTGTGCGTCTGACGATGGCGTGCCAAGTTGCTGGAAGTGCTGTATCGTTTTGCGCAATCTACGCATGCGTACGGGTCAACTCCGGGTTTCCGGTTGGCGGAGAAAAGAAGTTCGCTAAGGGCTGACTGCTCTCTCAAACTTGCCGGGCTAAGAGGTTGACCAGGGGAGGACGGGTACATTGATGCTGACGCGTCTTCAGCTTGCTCGTCCTGAAAGTGATCGGATGAATGGCTCCCATTAAAGGAATTGGACATCTGGTTTGGTGACAAACTGATACGAGGTGAATGAGTATCAGGTGTTTGCTGCCGTTTGTCGTTGATTACGCTGCCTCTGGAAGCTTCTATTAAAGATGCACAGGGGTTATATGTAGATGCAGAATTGAGGATGAAAACGCTGCTGTTACGGTTTGAATTTGGAGCGTTGTTATGTGTGTGGAATATTTCATAAGAAGGAATGCGTTGATCTTTGCCGACTTCACTTCTTGTGTTAACATTCTCGTTTATCTTCATGAAAGTCTCGGCTTGAGCATTTGTATCTTGCGAAAAGAGTAAACTTTGTTGATAGGGTGTATTTGGAGAGGTTGTTGCTGCTGTGGACACTTGCCTCTCGTCGTCATCAGACTTTGGTTTGTTGTGCTGTGACACCGCTAACAGGTACTTGAGCTTAGGGTGGTAGGTGGTTGGTGACTTGCTTACCCCTGCGTTGTCTTGAGGCTGTTCAAACTTGGCCTTGGCAATATCTAAAGCCGATTTTTGCTTCTGATCACTGCGACTTTGTGCCAGGGAGGCTGGAGAAGAACAGAGAGTCGAGTCTTGGTTTTCATACTTTACCGAGGGACTGCAGCTGTCGTGTGTCGAAGACGTGTACACAGGAGAATTCAACATCTCTTTCCCTTGGACGCTCCAGTTTCGATCTCCAGCTAGCTGTGCTGATCTACCAGAAATCTTGAGCGGCTGGGTGAGAACGATGTTTCCATTGCTGTCCATTTTGGGAGAAAGAATGAATTCATACTTCTTGGTTGTGGCTGGGCTAACCATGGTTTTCTTTGTTGCCTGGTTCATTGCCGCTGATAGTTTCATGACTTTGATCTTCTGACCATCCTCATAGATTGTAGTTTCTCCACCAACGAGACTGTGCAGATTCTCCTGTGTGTGGTCGTCGTGATGTTCCTTTCTGCGAGAAGACAGCTGAGAGTAATCAATTGGCTGGTCTTCTGTCGACTCCGACAAACTATAGCTTCTGTTATTGTGTTCTACATTCATGACTTCATCAAATGAAATTCTCCGCTGGGTTTGATTCACCTTAGATCCAAAAGCATTGTAAATCTGAAAGTCATAAACAGGCGTGGTTTGGGAAAAAGCAAGACTTCCAGTTTGTCCGTTTCCATCTTGGATTCTGTTCATTCCAACCGCCAGTTCACCCTTAGCTGAATACTGTGCGAACTCATTTAATCCATTTCTGCCGTCAGAAACTGCGAAATTGTATCGTTCCGAGTCTGAACCTTTCATATTCAGCTCATTGTCTTGATAGAGATGAATGCGCATATTAGGGTTTTCAATAACTTCCGTATTTCCCGCACAGTCTGTATACTTCTCAGATTTCTTAATTCCTCCCACGTCTGAGTCAGCTCTGCTTGTCTCGAAACCCTCTTTCCTCGGCCGCTGCCCTGGACTTGCGATTTTCCTGTCAATGTTCACATCGAATACGTCTCGGTTTGTTTGCCTCTGCGGACTTTGCGTCATGAGCTCCAACAGCAGAGAGAAGCCCGATGGACAGCCGAGCGTATACTCCAGTTCTGGTGAAAGTTCGTGGCGAGCATCGGTCTGGGTTGAACACCCACTGTCACTCTCACCGTCCGACACACTGACTGATTTCTCCAGTCCTCGACCAGGGAAATCCGCTGTCTTTCTAAATTCTGGTGAATCTGAAAACAGGAAGAGGATTAAAAAAAAAGTTCAAGTTTTCGTTTTAAAATCAAAACACAGCTGAAATGCATTATTCGTATGCAAACTATAACCGTGTTTTTACAACATTGGCATGTTTAATGAAGGGGTGTTATATTGTTGTTGTAGTTGTTGTTACCATTATTATTGCCAACATAAACTTTTGATTTTCCTCTTGTCAGTAGTGTAGCTTTCATATTATAAACGTGTTATATCTCATTAGCTGCTGCTTCTTCTTGTCGTCTTCTTCTTCTTATTATTATAATTATTATTAATATTATTCTGCTTATTATTATTATTAATGATCATCATCATCAGCATCAATATCATCATCTTTTTATCTTCGTTTCCGACTCCTTCCCTTCTCTCCTGTTTCTTTTCAATAGATGTAGATAAAGTCGCGGTCTAGCACTATAAATATATATTATCGACATAGGCCTCAACAGCTCAAACTGTCTGTCCAGACTATGTCTACCGTTAGGTACACAATATATATATATATATATATATATATATATATATATATATATATATATATATATATATATATATATATATATATATATATATATATATATATATACATATATATAGTAACAGGTGAAGGGTCCTTTTCACGCTTTTAGGCGTATTTGGCATATAGAGATAAACCTGTATTTTATAGACCAGTCGGCACTTGGTAGGTGATGTGGTCAACATCAAGCTGGACGCCTTTACTTCCAAGGACTGCACCTGGTACCAACTCAAGTCTGGGTCAACATGGGAGCCAATGTCATTTTTGAAAAAGTCCTGCTCTGTCAGGACTCGAACCTATGACCTACTGATCCACAGGCTAGCATCTAGCCGCTACACAACAGTGACTTTCAATATATATATATATATATATATATATATATATATATATATATATATATATATATATATATATATATTCATATATTAACTATAGAAACATACGTTTGTATGTGTGCATGTGGTGCGTATGGACAATTTCTCTAATGTTCACCTGTATCCCCTTGTGTTCAATAGCTCGCTTCTAGCTCTCTCCAAACCCTTAGAACTTGGATCAAAGAATGTAAACAATCTGCAGTATGTTTTCCAGGACTTCTATTTATTATTCTTTATACCTCCTCACTCCCCACTTTGTTCCTTTTTTTATTTTTATACCTTTGCTCATAAGGTCAAGGTGACTCGAATAACCTGCACGCGCCAAGTGTTAAACTGGTAGCGCAGCCCCGGCTCGGTTTCAGCAAAGCAAGGTGTTGCCGAAAAGGCGAGTGCTTGAATGTTGTTTTTATACCTGGGCGGGGTGCTGTTATAGAAGGGACTTCTGCTTTGATTATCGCACCTTGTTATTCATCCGCGCCGATCACCCCAAACCGATATGATGCCCCCGGTCCCTGACCTACGAGCTGCGCACTCCTCGTACTCACCAGCTGTCACGCAGACGATCTGGCGCGGAGGTTCCCAAATTCAAATAGCATGTCCCCCACTTTTTGAATAATAATAATAATAATATTAATAATAATAATAATAGTAATGCTAATTTTTAAAAATGCGTAAATTTCCCTCAAGTCAATCTTCCTGAACTCTTTCGTAGGGTGACCGTCATATCTTGAGCTGAAAAAGGACATTCCACTCTATATGGTGCTGAAAATCAGACATCATAAGCAAGTAAGTTTACCACGACTCCAATTTTTATAGGTCACCAGGCTGAAAGGGTTAATTACTCACTCAACAATATAATTAAAACCCCCGAGAATTATCACCAAGAAATAAACGAAACAATATGCTCTTTAACCGCACTGGAAATAGAATGCTACAGTGAAACTTGCAATCAACACGACTGAGGCTTTCTTCTTCTTCTGCCTTTCTATCCCCCAATGGAGCATAGGCCCTCAACCAACTCACGCCAAGTCGTTCTATCCTTCGCCATTGCATGGAGCTCTCCCCATGTCCTCCCCATCTTTCTAACTTCATTCTCTAGCTCACTTCTCCATGTGTTTTTTGGCCTTTCTTTTTTCCTGTGCCCCTGAGGGTTCTAATGCAAAGACATTCTGCTCTCCTGTTTTCTCAGTGTGTGTCCTATCCAACGCCAGCGTCTTTTCCTCACCTCTTGGTCCACTGGAGCCTGTTTAGTTCTCTCCTAAAGTTCTACATTAGTTCTTCTATCATACCATATAATTCCCTCTATTATGCGCAGACACCAGTTAATGAATGTCTGTAATTTATTTGTAATTATCTTAGTTGTTCTCCATGTTTCCGCCCCACACACAAATTTGACATTAGAATTAAAAGTTTTTAGTTTAGCATTTCTTTTAATTTCTTTTGACCTCCACAAATTCCCTAGTGCCATGAAAGCCCCTCTTGCCTTTTGTATTCTTATTTTAATATATCTATCAGTTCCTCCATCTTTATCTACATTACTGCCCAAACAGGTGTACGACTCCACGTCTTGGAGTGGGGTGCCATTAAGAGAAACCACATTACTATTAGCCTGGTTTATTCTCATTATCTTTGACTTTCCTTTATGGATTTTCAGACCAAGCTGCGGTGATCTCGCATCAAGTATATTTAATTTATCTTGCATCTGATTCCGTGAATGGGACAGAAGAGCAATATTATCAGCGAAGTCCAGATCATCAAGCTGTTTTGTAGGGGTCCACTGAATTCCATTCTTGGTGTTAGCAGTTACTGTTTTCATAATCCAGTCTACAGCTTGTAAAAATAGAGGCGACAAAAGACATCCCCGTCGCACACCTGTTTTTATTTCAAATGTATCTGTTAGCTTTCCCTCATGGAGAACTCGACATTTCATGTCTTTATATGTTGCCTTTACTGTTAATAATTTTCTGTGGGATTCCATAGTGCCCCATCAATTTCCAGAGAGATTCCCTATCAATGCTGTCAAATGCTTTTTCATAGTCTTTAAATTCAATGTAAAGTGGTGAGTTCAGTTCAAAGATTTGCTCTATTATAATACGTAATGTGGCTATCTGGTCAGTACAGGATCTGTTTGACCGAAAACCTGCCTGCTCATCTCTTAGCTTTTTATCAATAGCATCTTTTGATCTTTCCAAAATAATTCTTCTTAATATTTTTCCAGGAACTGATAGCAACATAATTCCTCTATAGTTTTCACACTCATGTAGATCACCTTTTTTGGGCAGTTTCACAAGATATCCTTCTCTCCAGTCTGCTATTATTTCTTCGGTCTCCCAGAATTTACTGAATAATCTATGCAGCAATTTTGTTGATGTGTTTATGTTGGCCCTGATGGCTTCAGCTGGGATACCATCTGGGCCTGCTGCCTTTCCTTCCTTTAGAAGATTGATAGCTTTTTTAATTTCCTCTTTGGATGGTATCTCACAGTTGATATCCAGTTCCATTTCTAAAGGCTGGATATGTGGATATCCACCATCTGTCCATTTGATCTTTAGTGTTAGTAAGTACTTTTCCTTGACCATTTTTGATTGATCCAGTTGGCTGACTATTTTTATCTACCAATCTTCTTGTGTTACTGTAAAGTTCTCTGAGGTTTCCTTTTGCTGCTGCTGTCTCCGCTTCTTGTGCTGGATCATTTAGATATTTCACTTTATCTGCCCTTAAATGCCTCCTAACTTCCTTGTTGGCTTCTGTGTATTTCTCCTGAGCTCTAGCTTTATTTTATTTTTATTTTTTTGCAAGTTTATATAATTTTATTCATTTGCAAAAACGTGGCAGATAATACACACCTAAACACCGTGCGACCATTATACATGTTCTGTGTGTAACTTTGTTCTGTGATTAACGCACTGTATACCAGCTGTACTTCAGGAATTAAGTCAAGGTATTTTGTTGGTATGACATCACGCCTCATGCACCATACTTCCTGGATACCAGACTTGGTACCAAGTGACTTCTTCTATTTTTCTAAAAAGAAGAATCCGCTTTGTGGATGTCATTTTTTAATGAACTAGACTGGCACAAAGTGACTTTTTTCAGTTTCCAAACATAAGGCACTCTGCAGATGTTATTTTTGACTACTAGACTTAATTATATGATGAAGAAATTGAAAATGTCACAAACTTTGAATATCTAGGCTCTAAAATAAACAACAATGGAGACTGTTCGACAGAAATTAAAAAGAGGATGGCCATAGCAATGCAAAGATTGAACAGCCTTAAAAGTCTATGGTTAAGCACCAGCAAGGAGATGAAAATTAGAATTTTGAGAGCATGCATCTTCCCTGTGGCTACATACGGATGTGAGTCGTGGACTATCTCTCAGTCCTTAAGAAAGAGAATAGGGGCTTTTGAGCTGAAATGCTATAGAAAGATTCTCAAAATATCTTGGACAAAGAAGATGAGAAATATTGACATCTTAAAAGATCTGAACATCATCAAGGAAGATTGGCTAATAAACAGCATCCTATCTCCGAAGCTAAAATATTTTTGTCATATCAAGCGTTACGATGGATTATAAAAAAATTATAGCAGAAGGCATGGTACCAGGAAGGAGGGGCAGGGGCCGACCGACACGAAGATGGGCACCGACTATTAGTGACTGCTTGAGTGTGAAAGTGCACGAGGCGGGAGAACTGGCGAGAGACTTAGTTTCTTTCAGGCAGACTGTAATGAGAGCGACGTTCTGCAAAGGACCTGCTACATGACGGGCGGACTGAGGGTTTAAACGTGTTTACAACTATGAAATCTAATAGGTTCTACAAATTTAACAACAAATTCTCCAGCTTTTTTCTAGATTTCTATAAAAACAGGACAAGTGCTTTTTTTTTTAAAAAGTACTGACAGAACGGGCGGGGCCTAATTGGACCGTCCCGGTAAAAACGGGACTTATGGTCACCTAACTCTTTGGGAAAAAAGCATCTCTGTGTGTTTACTTGATACTCTTTACAACCAGTCAATCAATTAATCAGTCAGTTAGTCATTAGTCAGATGTATCACAGTGAAGGTTGGCTGTAATGCAGTGTTTCATAACTTGG